AACTGGATCATTTGATTCACACAATGAGATCAACCTACTTCACACTTGTAACCAAAGAGCTATTAAAATGGTCCAATTGAGTAGCACACCAAAAGGTGCATCATAGCTAAGTCAGTCAACTCTTCTTTTGACTCTGAGGATCTAGCCAGTAAGATACACCACTCCTAATGTATACAGTCTATATTTATGAAATTGACAGCAAAGAGGGGTTAAATGTCAGTTAAGGCTGTACCAGGACACACTATTTCCACTGAAAATCTTAAAAGCTTGGAGGTGAAGAATTAAGGGTGTAAACAGACCATAGCATTTCTCTTGGGTGAAAGCCTTTTATCACGAGATCCTGGTAGGGCTGTCAGTACTTGTGAAGTATGCCAGATAAATTGCACTAACACTTTCCCCACAAGAATACTGTGCATCTCTTAAGTTACTTACAGTTCATTCAAATTAATGTCTCCGTAATGACTAGCAAACCTGTCAGGAAGTGTGCTCTCCTTTACCATCTGCTGGTGGAGGATCAGAAAGGCAGCTTGGAAGAGATGCGTGTAAAGGGCAGTGCTGCTCTTTTGCCCCAGGTTTGGACTTGGATCAGCACTGCCTCAAATGAGATGACTGTTTAAAACCTAAGAGAATGTCTTCTGCATTCCTTTACACTTTCGCACTGCCAACAATAGCAAAAAGCAGCATGTATGCATTCCAGCTTGAAACCGCCTCATCTGAGCTAGGGCAGAACAACATTTCCCATTTTATGGTAACAGAGAGCCTGTGATTGCTGGTAAATCCTGTTGCAAGAATGCAAGTTTGATGAAGCAGGGGCCTATACTGCTCTTAGGAGTACCTTAGGCCTATACTACTCTCTGGGATATGAAATGAAAAAGCATTCTGAAGTGTTGAAGCCCACTATGGATGATGTGAAAGCAGTAAGGAATGCAGGAATATAGATTTCTCTTAACTTTTAATTGCCATGCTTTTAATGTTTCAGGAGGATGAGATATGTCTGGATGCAACTTTAATTATCGCTTTACGGAGTGTGTTTATGTTAATTACATTAAAAATAAAATTTTGTGCAAGATCTCCTGTGATTAGCTGATCAACTTTCCTTCGGTCCGTGTTCTGATATTTGCTGCAATAACCCCTATTCTCAGCATAAAGATTTAATCAGTGTCCCTTCTGAATCCCAGAAGCTACATTTTTTAAAAAAGGCAGTTTCTCACTGTTGTAAAGTTTTTGCTAAACAAAAAATGAAAAAGTTAAACACATAAACAGTAAGCATGTCTGGGACTGTATAATCTGTATTTTGTTCAGTCCAGGATACTAGAATGCATACACAGACATACAAATGAGTTAAATAACGACCATACAATGACCATGTACGAGCATGAAGAGAAACAGTTATCAAAACCCAACACTGTATATTATGGTATTGCCTAGAGGTAACAACTTGAGATTAGATTCATTATTACTATTTACATTGGAGGCCTCAGTCTTACTGGATTCATGGCACTGTTGTCTTTTATGCTCATATTTCTGTAGTATATTTCAAGCACTGCCCAACACATCATAAAAGAACAGTTATGTCATCAAAAAGTGTGACGTGGGTGTAATAAGGCAATAGTAAAGGCGAAGACCCTTGTTTTCCATCAGTCATCTCAAAAACACCTGCTTCACTTTTTGTCACACTCTCTCGTATCTGTTTTGTAGGATGATATTATTTTTAGATCAGGTACACCTCTGGTTGCAAACACCTTAAATCTGTAAAATTAATATGGCTACTAACCTATTACAGAGGGCTGTCTACCTGGCAACATGTGAACCACAAGGGGTTAACATGTAGCACATGGGCTCCCTCCTGGCCACTGTTGCTCCCATTGCTCCTGCGGCTGTGGTGGCCAGGGGCCCTGGGCTTTCAGTCTCTCTTCCAGCTTCTGCTTTCTGTCATGTTCCTGGAGCAGGGCAACATGGTGGGTGCGGGGACAGGGAGAGCTGTGCTGCCCATGTCTGGTGTGCAGCCAGGAAGAGCAGAACCAGAGAGCAGGTACCATGAGGGGGAATCCAGGAGGGCTGCTTCTAGGGTGTGTGACCTGTGCAGCATACAGCCTTGGGGGGGGTGGGCTCTATGACTTGTGTGGCATTTAGCTCCCTAGCACCAAGAAATTGGACAGCCCTGATCTACTACTATGTTAATGCCACTAATGCATCATTTATCTTTTAAGTAAAGCCACTCTATTTACTAAAGTCAAGATATAAATCATTGAGTTAGAAAATGGAAGTTGTGTCTCTTACAGTCTCCCTCTTTTGTTCACTGTATTAAGAAGAACCATAATATAGCTGACTTGGCACTGAGAAGTTTCAAGGCAGTAATTAATCCCATGATCCCCAATAGCTAAGGGCTAGTTTGATCGCCACTCTACCACCATTACTTAGATACAAAGTATCCTTAAAATCTTAAGGATTTACCTTAGCTACTCCTTATTAAACAGATCCAGACGGCAGAATCTTAGAGATGTTACTTTTAGAGACCTACCTGACCCAAGAGAAAAGGAGAGACCATTACAGAAAGTAGAGTGTCTTATTAACATAGTTTCATAGTTTCTAGGGTCGGAAGGGACCT